AATGGCACTATAATATTCATGCTGCACTTTTTATGGCCCAATATCTTACTTTTGTAATGAATTCTGTTTGATGCCGCATGCACGCGATATTAAAAATAAAATAACCATCAATGCATCATCCTTTAAGTCTACTAATTATTAATCATACTTGAGAAAAATGAAAAATAACAGCGGAATACAGACATTTTTAAATGATTATTGATGGTTGTATGTAGTACCAATATAAAGAGTATTATGATTGTCGTGTCACAAAATAAGCCTGCATTTCGTAACATATCATTTTTACAAAACTTAATAAGGGAACTATTTTGAAAAGGGAAAGGAAAGAAAAGGAAACGGGAAAGGCATATATGTTTGGACCAAGAATAGATTTCTATTATTTAATTATCATTTCTCCTTCTATTCTTTTTAATTACTTTATATCTTTTATTCTATTGAATGCATTTATATTTCATTTAAAACTTCATTTTCTTGTAAGTATGAAAAGGGACATACACGACAGCGGCGAGATATACTAAACAGGCCTAGTATGATTCTCGCGGCTGGCCGCGTTGGCTATACAGCTATAGCTCGGGAGAGAAAGAGACAGCAGATTGTATATCTGCGCTCTTCTACCACCCGACGTTAGCCGAAGCGATGGGCGCACACGTACACGGCGCTCGCTTGTGTACGTATCCCCACTCCGCTGCTGCTGCTGCTGTAAGCGTCCCGAAAACGGCATCCCTGCCCGGACCGTGGCTCTGTGAGACGCGTAGCGAGTCATCCACTCGCGTCACTCGTCCGTTTAATTTAGTGCGCCTTGTATATCAGTGTACCATTAGTGTCTTTACATTGTTCAGCTCAAGCGCTCGAGAAATCACTCGTTCGACGGCCCGCGGACGCGCGCCAGGGTCGCGGAAGATCTCCGTCGCTCGCGCGCAAATCTCCGTCCGCGGAGCGCAAGTGTGACGTTCAGCAAGATTTCCGTCGCGCTCGGCTGACCCGGCCGTCGGCAAAAGAAGATTTCTGTCTCGAACTACTTGGCCGTCGAACCATATTCTCGACCATTGTCGTGCAATAGAGAAAGTGAATTTCAACCAAAGTGTTCAATTAATCGACTCGCTCTTCTTCCTTACCGCGCCCTGCGCTGGGCGATATCAGCGCTCGCTGCCCGACGGGAGCTGTCGGATCCGCGACATATCTCAACAACATCTTTTTTACAAACTGATGTTCTTATCTCAACATCTTTTTTACAATGTTCTGAATTGTTATTAAATAACAGAAATTACGCATTTGTACTTGGTGGTCGATTTACATCTGATTGTATAAAAAACTTATTTTCTACTGTACGAACAAACCCATACAGCACAGATCTTGCAGCAACATTGCAGTAATATTGCGGCAACACTGCTGCAACTTTTAACATTGCTGCAACGTTGCAGCAATATTGCTGCAAGATCTGTGCTGTATGGGATACATCAAACCCCTAATGCCGTTCAATTTAAAAACGATCTAAAATTAATAAGTATCGCGCAATATATCATCAGTGTTTATCGTAGCAGTTACGATGAAGATGACCGGGAATACTTAAACGAATTCTTAGAGATTTTACAACGAAATAAAAAACAACAAAATCTTGATATAAATCAGAATTTTGTAAAAAAATCTGTTTTTGAGCATGACGATGTACTTCATAAAACTGTAGTGAAACCATTATCAATACCCACACAGCAGAAGTGTTCAAAATATATCATAGAGACATTCTAAAGATATATTTGGGATATATGATATCTTCAAGATATCCTTATGATGTATTTGGGTCATTCTTGCTGTGTGGGTAATAGAAAAAAATTACTTACACAACATAGCAGGGTATCTTATAATGAGTATTAAAAAAAATCAAATAACGTGTAAGAAATGTATTAGTTAAACGGGGTCTTATAAATCTTCAAAACTTCAATTTCATTATTTATCGCGAATTCGTCGCTGGAGCAATTCTTGCTTATTTTTTTAAAATTTAGTTACATTTAATCTTTTTATTGAGATGGAAAATGTTGTTAGACAACATATAGAATTTTTCACAAAAAAATGATACATAAGACATAAAAAAATTAATTCTACCAAAGTTTGATGCTATCAATTTTTCGCTACCGAATTGTCACAACTTGAGACATAAAATTGTACATCCTTATCTACTTTTTAGATTAAGGGTTAATTCGAAAACAAAATCTAAAATGTTACAAAGAAATGCGCTTGATTATGGAAGTAAAACTGTTGTAATGCATGTTAGAATTCATTAAAATTATGTTCTACAATAAAAACAAAATTTATTAAATTGAAGTAAATATTTATTTCAATTTAATAAATTTTTTTAGTGTATTAATAAGAAAAAAAATACGCTTAATTATGCATGTAAAACTGTTGCAATGCATGTTAATATTAAGTGAAAGAATGTTTTATTAGTATGTAAGTGCAACTGTGATGAGTAATGCAATTGTGATATGAGTAGTGCAACTATAAAAGATAAAATAAAAGATAAGAACAAGGCAGTCAGTACAAAGCAAAATAATAACTTTCTTTTTATCTTTTCTTTTATCAAATTACAGGCTCATACAGGTCATTACCAAGGATAAGAATACTTCAGCTAAAGTCAACAATACGTCGATGAAAATAAAATTCAGTATTAAAAACAACAAAATTGTATATTGAATTCAATTCCACAAACAATTTATTGTGTAAAATGTAATTTTCGCAAATGTATAAAGAAACTGTACTCAAGAAAACAAATATATGTATTTATACTTCAAAAAACTTTATTTCATTTTAAGTGTCATTAAAAAATAGTTACATTTTTAAAAATTATGGTAATTCAAAAAAATTTTGAAAACTAATATTACATTTTTTACATTATTGTTGACACACCTGTTTTTAATGTACAAGAGTGATTGTGATTTCACTACTATAATTACTGCATTTAATTGAAATTCAGTTGCGAACTTAGTCCGAACTTAGGTTAATAATTTAATTTTACGACTGAATAATTTCGAGATTTGTATAGGTAATAAAAAAGTGTAGCTATATAATTGTTAATCTACTGACAAGTACAATAAGTGACAATTAAAACAAGTTATAACTTTTTGACTACAAAATCTTATTATGCTACTGAAATTTGAAATGCCCGGTAGCATCACATGTTTCCGGTTTAGTCAAAATATGGCGGCACCAATCAGAAATCAGACATGCTTTGCTCTCCCTTGAGTATCTCTAAAGCAGTGGTTGTCTCTCTCCTGAAGTTGGGACGCGTTCCGAAATCTACAAAAAATCGGTGCACAAACCTTTTAGACCACGAGTGTACACTGTGTGACACAAAACTAGTTTATTGGTTGCATATTATCTTACAAGATATTTTAGATAATATGTAATCAGGAGGTTTGTTCTTTCGACCTGAACTGCACTAGTTCACGAAGTTTGCACTAATGCGTTCTTTCGATCAGAACAGTGCAAGAAAATGTGTTCTTTCGAACAGTGCAGGCTGAACTAGCAGCGAGTTCAGTGAACTGACTGCCCTAGGTCTGGAGGTAGAGCAAGCAGTGCAGGGCAGCTAACCGAAAAAATTTAAATTTGTATCTATAACCTGTAAAATCGGTATACCTAGTTGACATTACGTAGAAGAAATAATCCGACGACGGAATCTATAAACAGTAAGTAAATACTTAAATATATAATAAATATATAATGTAGATAAATATATAATAAATATATAATGTAAATAAATATATAATAAATATATAATGTAGAATGACATAAAAGAAGTATTTAGAATGTTATCCAAACAGCACAAAATATCCGAAAGACATCCTGGGAAGGCTCTTGGACGTTTTTTCGGAGGGATTTGTTGTATGGGTATCCAACACAAAACAGTTTTTAAAAGAAATAGGATTGTTCAACAAAACATAAAATGCTATAAGTGCGAAAACATGACCATAAATT